CTGAACCCAGAGCAGCAACGTCTTTTCTAAAATGTGGTGACCAAAATTGGACACAATAATTTAAATAAGCCCATACTCCTTCATGCCACGGTTTTAAGCCAGCAGTTTTATCACTCTGCAACTCACAACTGGCAACCCACTGAAGCTAAGCAGGTGTGAGCCTGGTCAGTACCTGGATGGGAGACCTCCTGGAAATACCTAAGGTTGCTGCTGGAAGAGGTGTTAGTGGGGCCAGCAGGGGGCGCTCACCCTGCGGTCCATGTGGGTCCCAATGCCCCAGTATAGTGACAGGAACACTATACTTTAAACAGGCGCCATCCTTTGGATGAGACGTAAAACCGAAGTCATTAAAAATCCCAGGGTGTTTCTCGAAAAGATTAGGGGTGTAACCCCGGCGTCCTGGCCAGATTTCTCATTGGCCCTTACCAATCATGGCCTCCAAATAATCCCCATCTATGAATTGGCTTTATTACTCTGCTCTCCTCCCCACTGATGGCTGATGTGTGGTGAGTGTTCTTGTGCACTATGGCTGATGTCGCATAATCCAAGTGGATGCTGCACATTGGGAGTTGAGGGGAGTCCCCATTACCTGTAAAGTGCTTTAAGTGGAGTGTCCAGAAAAGCACTATATAAATGTAAGCAATTATAATTATTATTAATGTGCCATCCCTTGATTTAAATATAATGATTTTTTGCTTTTAAACATAAATAGCTCAGGTTGCCTTCCCTTTAAATAACTGGATTAGCCTACAAACAGTAACAGAAAAGACCTTTATAAAGCACACTCATTGATATAGAATATTTGGATTATTCTTGGGCTCCTGCACAAGCAGTGTGTGGCAGAATTACCAATGCTTCCCACAGTCGCTCAGTATTTCAGTCTAGGATATGAGAATTGTCGGTTGTGTAGTTACTGTTGCCATGGATTCCTGCCCAGTCTATATCTAATTGGCCTTATTGAACCCTGTTGAATTTCAAGGCTTAGAAGCCCAGAAGAGAGAATCTCAGAGCAAGAGGATAGCAAAAAAAAAAGACTGTCTTGGTTCAAATGGCCTCATGCTGGTAGGATGATGAACGTTGAAAGCAGTAATTGCCACGGAAAGCTCAGCGTGCATTTTCACTAAGCGCTCCTCGCACTAAGCCGTTGGAGAACAGAATAGCAAAAATAATACATCCCTGACAAATCACTCGTGTCAGACAAAGTATTGATTGCACTGAGACTTTTCAAAATGCAGGATGGAGCAGAACACATAGAAGAAGCTCCCAGTTTCCCAGCCTCGACACACAAACAGCATACAAGACCAAACAAGAAAAGAAAGGTATTGTGTTGTTCCCTGTGTTTATATGGGTTAAAACCCATATACTGTAGGTCATTTTGAAAAGTAGTCCTTCTTCATCTGGGTAAAATGAAAAGTACAAATGGTTTAGAAGTTGCAGAACCCTCTGTCAGCATATTCCTGCTTACATATTCATTAGATATAAATCAGAAGCCTTTTATGTCTATTTGAACAATGTGACCCTATATGGAGTAAGAATGGCAGATCAAAAATCAGTATCATTCTTAGAGACCTCATGTTAGAAAGAATAATGTATTTTATCTTTTTAAATAGTAATGGGAATATAAAACCCAAATAACTATTTTTTTCAGTTTTCTCTTTTTCCCTGACTTCATTTAAAGATGAAACAAAAAACACACACTTTTCTCTACTTTTTTGCTGCTGGGATTCCAGTCTAATCATCTTATGGCTTATGCCTTTTGATATGAAGAAGTCCAGGTGATTAGCCCCTTAATTCCATAATAGATCCTGTTGAATTGAATCTGTTACTAAGTGAAATCTGCAGAGCAGCAAAAGGAAGATATCTCTTTGGCGGTGTGCAATAGGTGACATCCTATTAGAGAAATCACAAGAATAGTAGCAACCACAGAGCAAGATGACAGAGAGCATTGATTTGCCAAACGCTGGCAGGTGAATTTTCTTTCCAGTCAACTTTCCAGTGAGGGTTCAGCGATTTGTTCCTTAAATTAGTGCATATTCTCTTCACCTCCCAAACATTTTCGAAGAGATTGATGGTTTTTGGGCCACACCACCATATGGTGGTTTTGTTTGAAGACTTGTTTTTTGAAGTATATTCTGGCACCTTTCAGGACCTCCCTTCCACTGGTCCTAAATTCACAATTTGGTATTAATAATGACAACAAAGAACGTGTTTACTTTTACAACACAGTCTGCACTGAAAGAGTTTATTCTGGCCTCTACACAGCAGTTATTTCCACTGAGGCTACAGCATTACTAGATAATGTGTGTCAAAATGTTAATTAGAAAGCTGGGTTTTGTAGCTTTCCAGAGAGTGCAAAACTCCACCATTACTCAGGAAGAAAGATGGTGTTCAAGGGAATCTGATTTAGTGATTTTAATTAAAGAAACCTAGGGTGTCGGTGATCAGGCTTTGTGTTTCTCATTGAAGACACCCCCTCACGCACATCTCTGCTCTCCTGTTCTACTGCTATCAAAAGTCTTTTCACTCTTTTCTTTTCCTTCTTTTTATGCAGAATCAATTATATGATGTTTTTAAACTGAAATGTTAGCCACTGCTACCCCTGCAAGATCTATATTGTCTACAAAAGCTTTTATGTTTGTGGATATGTAGGGAGTCACAAATTAGGTTAATGATAGGAAACCTGATATTGTGTCAATTGGATTTGATTGGTAAATGTGATGGATCAGGTGCTACAACACTTCATATTGGCTGCTCATGTACAGTATTGTTTACCTTGTGATTTTGCGATCATTTATCTCTTACAAAGCAGTATTAAGAACAAAGTTGTTACAATGGTAGACAATACTAGCAGAGGCTTTGATTAAATTGTTGATACTCCTGCCATAGATATTGTGTAACTCCTGATTGTGTCTAAGAAGTCTAAATCATTTGTACAGATTGGCCTAGGTCAGGGCAATGATGAGCTAAAATTAGATACAGTTAGATTTGGGACTTAGAGTGGAAGATTGTTATTCTATCTGAGAGCTGTGAGTGCACGGAGCTGAAATGGCTAATTTTACTGTAGACTGATTCAATGGTAGGGAATGTACAGTATTGATGAGGTGTTCAGTCAAAACTGACTCCAGAAACTGAATCAGTAAGAGGCATCTTGGGTCTGATTCTTTTTTGCTTCCATTACTTTAGAACCAGCATGAACCTAGCACCTTAATACTGTAGATTGTATTTTAGTCCATTTATTTTAGACAACATGCGCAGGGATGGCAAAATTATATCTGTGAACTTTATGGCAGGGTAAATGCTTGATTTTTGCCCTTAATCCACAGACCTGCTGTTAATATCCATCCATTTTCAAGCCATTTCATCCAGTTCACGATTGCTGGGGGGAGCCAGAGTCTATCCCAGCAAGCAAGGGATCAAAAGTGGGGTACACCCTGGACAGGATGCCAGTCCATCTCAGGGCACACAGACACAAAAACATTCAACCACTCACACCAGGGCCAATTTTCCCAAAAAACAATTAACCTACAAGTTTGTTTTTGAACTCTAAGAGGAAACTGGAGCACTAGTGCAAAACCTGCTGTTAATAATCAACATTTAAAGTGCATGCAGGTCCCTCATCAATTAAATTTCTTTGCTTAATTACTCCGACTAGATATAATTTTAAAAATCAGTCTCCTGGAAGAATAGATTTCATGAGAAAAAACATTAATTGTTTCAGTTATTGTTTCTATCCTGCATGATATTATTGCAATATATTATTGCAATCTTGGCCGCATTCACATTCCTCTCTTCTGGGTTTTAGAATCCATTTTGAAGCAGTGTGGCACAAATTTCAGTTAAACTTTTTTTAAAAAACCTCAGTGAGTTGCTGCAATTAGCACATTTTACAGTGATGATTAAAAGAAAATTATCTTCCATTTAGAGGCTCTGTGAAAAATCTCATGTCACAGACAGACCAGTTAAAATGGAGTTCATAACCGTTCTCTTAAGTCAATGCGGTTGATAATATATTTTAAAAATGTTTGCAACGTGTTCATTAGAAAAGAGCTGTTTTCTGTGATTCATCCCATCTGTCCTTTTGTTTTACTGCTGAAAAAAAGAGCAGATACTTCAGAGAGTGTCATGACAAGAGATGTTTGTTAAAGGGTTTCCTGGCATAGTTACAGTATATTTTTAGAAATACCTTAAGCTTTGTTTGAGTTCAAGCGAAGTGAACTGCTTAAACAAGCAGGGCTCCATTGTAGACTAACAGGAATGGGTGACCATTGTTCTCAGTGTCTTGTGGGAGTTTGCTTACCTGGAAGAAACAGGTAATGCAGAGCACTCCTTACTCTCCCAGCATCTCTCCTAGCTTTCATTTCACCTTTAGGTGGGTGAAGTATTTCTAATATCAATATGTCCTCTCTTGGACACATTTTGTGCCCCATTTTCTGCTATCCAGTTGCTTAAAATATATATTGTATAACTGATCAGGGCACAGTCCCATTAAAGTTTCTGGCACAGAGAATAAAGATAAATGTGGGCAGGAGCTTACAAATATGCACTCAACTTTAAATAAGTACTAAATATGTGATAGTATTAAAGTCTGATGATTAAGAAGTCTAAATTTCAGTAAAGGCAACAATGAAATGCTCCAATGCACTGTACTTTCAATGACAACCATGTCCTATTTTCTAATCCCAGAGATTGAGCTGTGCTGCAGTGTGCACGTAGTCTCTGTGCCACACCACCTTTCTCAGCCCACTCTGGATCCTTTTTAATTATTCCTCTGCCTTGCAGACCTTTTCCACGCTCACTGGCTTTTCCCACAGAGAATCAGTCTCATCCTAAATACAGAGCTGTTTTTTGGTTGCCAGCAATGGAAAATTGCCCTCTGCATATTTGAGTTTATTAGGAATTTAACATCTATCATCCTTTCTGGTCCCTCAGCTGTGATTGATCTTTCATTTTCTCTCTTTCTCCTTGTTTGTTTTTTTATGGTTGACCTCCAACCCCTGCAGCTCTCCTCCTGACACAAGGTAAGCGCTCTGGTGTCATTTCACTATACTGTCGCTCATCTGTCTGCACCAGTTTCTTTTTTTGTGTCTAAAGAGTGATCTGTGTAATTCTGCAGTCGTTGCGGTTAAGTGCTGATCTTCCCTGGTTGCAGGTATGGCATGCAGCTGGACTTGATTGTGCTAACTGGGGAAACTGGGCTGTGTGAAAATAGTTGTGCAGTAGTGTAGTTGTACTTGCTTTTAAGGTCATTGACTTGCATCGGCCAGCAAGGAGTATACATTTATCACCAAGTGAAGAAAGGAATGGACCCTTTACACAAAAACCAAATGAAAATCTGACTGAACGTCTTTAGATCATTGTAGCACTCTTTGGCCTTTTATGGGCTTGCGGTAGCATTGATCTCGAGATCTGTTCCTGCAGCAGGTGAAAGCAGATATTCTAGAGATTTTTTCACACCTCATTCCACCTGAATCATTCAGACTGATACAGTGCACAGGCCTTCAAAAGGTTACAGGTGAATTAATGCCTTTGCCTTGTACAGTTTCTCTTAGCAATTTACTGCACTCATGCCATCAGTTTATTGGAGTTGGACGTGGAGAAGTAAAATCTATAACCCTTTGACCAAGCAGAGCCTGTCTTTTCTCAGTCCTGAAATAGCTTGTGTAACTAAAGGCTACAACATGGCCGATAAAGGAAGAGAATTAGGAATATTGTTTTAAATCCTAAAACTGTACTGCTACCACTTTCCAGGTCACCTCCTTCAAAATCTGGACTCAATTTTCAGGTACATTAACTCAGCGATTATCACAGCACAGGAAATTTACAATCGGCTGCTGGAATCATGACCCTTTCTTGGTGATGTTCACACTAGCTTGACCACAACAGCCAAGCCTATTTCCTGTCAACAGCCTAACTGCTGCTAGTGAAATGATCAGCTCCACCCCATTTGAGTGATCAGTTTTAATTATCACATATGCAGTGATAGAGATCATGAAACCACTTTACATTGTCCTAATATTTTATTATGTATCAAGCAGCACATTAACATGCAAATTATACCTAAATATACCAAATTCATAATCTAGTAATCATGATCAATGTCCTTCTCTGTGTTCAATCATGTTCCATATGTGCGCAGTTAAATTCCACAATGCACACTCTGAATTGTCAAAAGAAACTTAATAAACCTCTTGTTCAGCTGCCATCTAATTTCTCTACAGCACAGCTTGGCTCTAACCTTTTTTCTACAAATCATATGCATTCAGTTGAGGTGAAGTCAGTCCTTAACTATGGGTGAGAGTGATACAGAGACTCTTTCATGGATTTAGCAACAACAGTCTGAGCATCTTCATACCCTTTACCCCTCTCCACAAAAACATCTTCACACAATCATGACAAAATTCCTACTTCTCAAAATCAATACTTTTATCTACAAGAGCAGTGATGCAATGTGCCTCCACAGCCATTGAGATGGATTCAGAGATGTGAACCATTGAACAGTGTCTTGACAAATCTTTCCTCCTACCGTTATTTATGACAATACTTTTACTGACCAGATGGATAAAAAATGAAAATTTCACAAGGGTTAAAATAGTGCATTTCAAAGAGGAACTATTATTTTTATGTGGTTATTGTACTAGCTACTATTGTACTAGATAACAAATTTTCATTCATGATAAAGAAGGGCTCTTCTTAATTATCTAAGCATTATAAGTCTTTCAAAAAAGAAACAGCCATCTAAATGGACAAAACTTTATTCAAGAAACTTTAAAATAATTCATACAGGGAGGAGGGATTACACCATTCTGATGGGTTTTTTTTTATTTGAGAACTTTTGAAGAGCAAATTGGAAGATTTGAAAAAAATACCATCATTTATCACTCATGATGGTGACATGAATCACATCCTGACAGGTTTTTAAAGTTAAGTCTAGTGCATTCATTTTCATGCCTCTGGGTTTTTATTCGATAAAGCGGATGCGATTCCCTGGGGCTGCTGTGTGACTGACATTAATCAAAGCTGCTGGAAGAACGCCTCTCTCCAGACCTTTCCTTGATGGACTCACCTGCCATTGGTACTGTATTTTCCCATTGGCGACCTCTCCTCCGGGGAAAAGCCCTGTGCAACATGCTGACTGACTTTGGAAGTTTAAAGACGTGCCAGGATGTGAACACCGGAACCGACTGGACCAGAAGTGTCTTGGAAGCAGTGTGGCACAGTGCTAAGTATTCCGGACATGTAATTGGGAGGCTGTAGTTCCAATCCTGAATGAGACCCTGCTGTTGTACCCTTGAGCAAGGCACTTCATTCACATTGTTTCAGTAACATGTCCAGCTAAATAAATGGGTACAAAATTGGTACAAAAGTAAATTAGTTGGATGAAAACATAATAAATGTACAATAGGAATCCAGAGTTTTATAATGGATGCACTCTTTGAAAAGCCTTTCACATTGTCTTTAAATTTGCAAGAAATGCCAACCTTATGGTGTATTAATAAATAATTTGCCACCACACAGCATACAGAACAGCATATAACTACACACTCAGTTGTTCAGTTAGATCCTAATAAGAGAAAGAGACAAATATGCAGAGTATAGTTGGCGTAGCTCGCCTGGCTGAGGGAACTTGGAAGCTTTACAGAAAGGATCAGGCTGGCCACACACACCCTGCCCTACCCGTTTGTATTGCAAGGATTGAGCCAGGGAGGGCAGGGGTGTAGATGGGGTAGCAGAATGGGTACAAGAGTGATAAAGTATGGGAAGTCCCAGATGCAGACGGGTGAGCAGATGTATGTGAGATTAAGATTTATCCTTGCTCCCAAATTGCTCCTACACCTTTATTGTAATTCCATTAGTTGGCTTTGATCCAGTTGTTTGAGGATTAATTCTCACTTGTTTTTATTCCTAAACTAATTAATTTTGTATCACAACTAGCTCCAGTAGTAGAATTAGCATAATTCGGCATTGAGGCAAACTGACTGTGCATTACTAAGATACCCTAGCTCATTGAGTACCACATTTGCAACTGTTAGAGTGCAGGTGATGCAGAACACTCAAAGAGGTGCAGAAGGCAGACAGTTGCTTTTTGCCATGTGAGTCTCATCAGGCATGTTGTGTCTAACACAAAAGGATTCCCCGCAGAACGTAATAAAACTATCTTTCAATTCAGCTGTTAATTGAAGCAGACTAGACTTTGCCTTTTGTGTAGTTTTGTCTCTGAGTAGAGTTCAGCCACAATTCACAATTGTACAAGTCACAGTTGTATCTTAATATGCTTCATCATATTTTATTGTATTCGAAGACTGTTACAGTACTGAATGTGCTCTTAAAATCAGAAGGAAAAGCAAAAACTCTTGCTGGCTAAAATATTAGGAATACCCTGTAGAATAGTGCGTCCTCCGAGTCAGAAGAGCTCAGACTGGGGGAGCAGTGTATTCCAGTAGGTTCTGATGTATTTGGAGGCCAAGGCTGCACCATTCTTGGAGCTGAATCACCTTTGGTTGCAGTTGTGATGGGGGTAATGTTGTGTGGGATTGAATTGCACATTTCACTGGTTCCAGCAGTTGTAACTAAGATCAATATCTGGGGATTGTTCTGGCCAGACAACGCAGTAGAAGCCTGTCTCATGCTCCTTAAACCAACCATAAATTGTCTATTACTGGCAGAGTCTTTGCATTTGGTTTATATAATTTATTTATAATATGTGCTTGTTTGTCCCACTGTGAAATTTCAGTGATGTGTCTTTCATACTAGCAAACACAAGAGGAAGTAAAGGGAATTATGGCGGTATAGCAGTAGTGGGGCCCTGGGTTCAATTCCGGACCTGGGGTTCTGTTGATGTGGAGTCTGTATGTTCTTTCTATGTTCCTACTGTAGGTGCTCTGGTGTCTTCCCACTGTCCAAAGACATACTGGTAGGTTAATTGGCTTCACAAAAAATTGACCCTGGTGTTAGTCAGGTGTTTGTTCCTGTGTGTGCTCTGAGGTGTCCTGGCGTCCCATCCAAGTTGTATCCCATCCCATCCCGTCTCATACCCATTGCTTATCAGAATAGGCCCTGGCTGCCCTGTGACCCTGAACTGAACCCAGGGCCCCAGCGCTGTGAGGCAGCAATGCAAACCACTGTGCCACCCTGCTGCCCGACAAAAACAGCTGGCGACTCTAAATTAAGCAAGAAAAAAATAGCAAAGTCAGTAAGAAGTGTCAGAGAAGAGGTCCACCTGCCGTTATTAAAGGGTGGCAGAAGATCTGTAGTTCATGAAAAAGATCTTAAAATTGTGTTCCAGGGAGTGTCCATTGAACCATGGAGCGTGTTCTGAAGTGCAATGGCTCGCTAAATATTTGATAAATCACGTACTCATAGCCTAGCAGTCAGTAAGAACCAGTTCATGGAAGAGATGACAGTCATTCTCTGGTGGGGACGGGCCTCTGGGGAACCAGCAAAAAGGCAATTAATGAATAAATGATGTATTGTCTAAGGACTGGGCAAAGAAATTACGAGGCATAGCTGGGTGGGCACCTGGGATTGTCTTAAGCTTTGTTTTTCTAACTTTAATGAATCTCTTTTGAAATCCAAATTGAGGCATCCAGTCAGCAGGCACCTTTTATGTCTGTCTGATTTTTGGATTTCACTGTGAAACAGACAAAAGGGCACATAATGAGTCTGTGAATAAGCACATTGTTGTAGATGACAAGAGTCCCTGCAGCTGCACGCAGTGGTGCAGGTGAATGAAGTTACCACTTTAATCAGGTACAGTGCTTAATATTTGTGTCTCTTTACATACAAATTATTAAAATATTTTCCCTCTTTCTGCTGCCAAGGATGAAATATGGAATAAAATAATAGGCTGTATTAAATACAGTGCGAAAGTGAAGTACCAATTACTGATGTGATGCAGAGGCAACAGTCTTCACACACTCTTAGTACTGTGTGTGCCCAATCTATGTGACAAATGTATCATTTTAATTCATTTACTAAAGGATAGGACGGTTTGTCCAAAGGGAGAAACCAGCTCCTTATCTGGCTTCATTCAAACAGTGCAAAGGTTTGTAAAAGTTCTTTAGTGTAGAAAGAAAGAACTTAAAAATGCTAGATTGCCTGGTGCTAGTGTATGCCTTCTCAGTAATACCTATTTTACTTGCAAAATCTTGCTGCAAGTCCTATCCATTAGGCTTTAAGAGCTAGCATGGTATAATACAAAAATACTAAAATTAAAATAAAAATAATAACTAAAATCCATCCATTTTCTTACCACTTCTTGATTTCAAACGTTTGCAGGGAGCTGGAACCTATCCCAACAAGCAATGGACACAAGGCGAGATACACCCTGAACGGGACCTCAGTCCATCACAGGGCAGACCCACTCAAACTCAGACAGACACAGGGCCAATTTTACCAAAAGCCAGTTAACCTTCCAGTACCAAGGGAGGGAACTGAAAACTCATGTGAACACAGGGAGAAAATAAAAACTTCTCACTGCACCGCCATGCCTCTGGAACCCTACCCCTGATTTAAATGATTATGTTTACTCTGCTTTGACATTTTTAGAGGAGAGTTTGTGATTTTCATGAGCTTTCAATTATGATTTAGGGACTGCTTCAAATTCCATTAGACACTGCCCTCTTGTGGTTTCAAAAGAAAACTAATGTTCACATTTACAGTAAAACATTTTACTATGGATTCAAAACTTAAATACTTCTAAAGCAGGGGTGCCCAACCTTTTTTAATAGAAGATCTAATTTTTCATTTGCCAGTCCAGCGCGATCTACCAATGTGAATTTGAAGCTCCGATATAAGAAAAACAGACTGTGGGCACATTAGTACAATAATGATACCAATAAACTCATGCTACAGTGAACAAGTAATGTTCCCCATTTTAGAAAAAATAATATCCTATCTTAATGTGAGCATTGGCAATGAGAAGCTTACTTGAGAACACTTGTATTTTTTTAACGTGTTGACACTTCTGATCATGTCAGTTAAATTTTTATTTTGTCCCTGCAGCTCGACATTCAGCAGTTCATTTAAGTCTGTGAGCAATGCTAAATCCAGAAGCCACTGGTCATCCTCTAATTGGGCATATTCACCATGTTTAGACGACTTGAGAAACTCTTTGATTTCAGGCAACAGCTGTCTGAACCTTGCCAAAATTGTTTGTTTTTGAAATCTCCGAAGAGCAAGTCAGCAGCCTCAGCAAAAGCTTTTTTTATTACTTCTCGATCCCTGAATGACTTTTTGTGTTTAGCCAGGACGTGGCTCACACGGAATGATGCGATGATTGCCGCTTTCCCTTTTGTATGAGGCCTCGTGAAAACCGACTGCTGCTAGTTGAGATTTTAATTTTTCTACTTTTCTTCATCCTACTGTAACTCTCTTTTAGCGGGAGAGTCCACATCAAAGGTTTTCTGTGCAGTTTTGAAATGTTCTATATTTCCCTTTTTAGAGTAGACGCTAGCATTGCAGATTTGAATGCGAAAGTACAAAAAATAATCATGCTCCCTTTCCTTGTGGTAATGGTAAGTTTTGGGTCTCTTTGCTTAATCATTTTCGCTACACTACAACCATCACATAGGCAATTAAAACTTATCAAACTGTTGGCGAATTTGTCACGGCCAATCTGTTTCGCTCCAGTACGCACTGTAGCGAATGTGGAGTTCGTGCGGCAACAAGCAAGAGAACGTTCTTGGGTAGCACACACAACACTCTTTATTTACGGAGCCCCTGTGGCCTTTTTTCAGTGTCAGCCAGAACGCAGGGAAGAGACTTTACAACCCATTCTACAAGGGTTAAACACACACAAGAGCAGTAAAATGTATGACATTACATGCACAGATCTGAATGAATTTTTAGGCTATTGAAAAAAGTAACTAGTCAGATAGCCCATTTATTTTTTGCCCAAACATTCTTGCTATCTATCAGCTGGTTGGGCACCCCTGTTCTAAATGATCAAAGCAAGGAAAGAGATACAGTAAATGCAAAGTATAGTTAAAGCAGATTATATACAAATATGTGCAAAACCTTTCTTATGCTTGGTTAGACAGCTGTTTGTGAGTAAGGATTTCAGTATAAATTAGACAATTAAAAGTGTGTTTGAAGGCAGCAGGGTTAATGGTAGAAATGATCATGTGTATGGGAACAATGTTATAATATGAGTGTCAAGGTCATTTAACCTGCCTTGGCACTGTGGTGCATGTGAATCTCCCCCTGCTTCTAATGTGCTTTGGAATTCTTTTGGGGGAAAAACACTGGATAAATGCAATTAATCAAATAATTACTAACTGACTTTAATATAGAATGCATTTATTTTTTTCAACATATAGAATAGCACTACTGTCAAGATACCAAGGAACTGTATACTAACGGATAAATGGGCCTGGTTCCCTTTTGTTTGCTCTGAATTCTGCTCAGTGTATGCTGAAATGAATTGCGTCTCTGAGTTGTTTCTTTGCCAAGAGTCCAAAATACAAAAATAGCAAATAATCCATGAACAATGCTGTGTCTTGAACCCAGTAGGCTGATATGTGATATTCGCTTGCTTTCCTGCAGTTCTCTTGATGAAGCTATTTTGTTCTAGATGGTCACTCATACTTTGTTGCATAAAACAGTATCTTGTCACAAGGCTGCATGTACTACATGTGTACCATTTGTTATTCTACATTTAAGGGTTCTAATATACACTGCACTGCTACTGTAAATGTCAGAGAATGGTTCCATTGGATGATTCACTCACTAAAAGGAATAGTGGATATGTACTGTAATACCTAAGGTTAGTAAAGTAGTAGCAGACCAGACCTTTTCCTTAGAGTTTACAGGTGGTGTACAGACGATACAAAAACACCCTTAACAGGTATTGCAAATCAAGCCACCAGAAGCTACACCCACGTGATACAGAGATATTTCAACTGGCATTGACTAAATGTCAACAGACATCTCTGAACATTTAATCAAATTAATGATGTTTTATTTCTACAGACCTCCTTAGAGGTGTAATGTTTGAATAGAACACAGCACATAATAGCACTAAACTCATCCTAAAGCAATACTCAGACCGTGGCCCAAATAAACATACCTATCAAATCCTTTGACGTGAGTTTTACTTGTGCCAAAAATAACAGCTTTAATACTAACGTCTTATTCTGTTGCCACCGCAGTGTTCACCCACTGGTAAATGGAGTCATGACAACTTTAATAGAACTAAATATACTGTATAAAAGTGCAGTCAGTGTGTAGGTGACAGTGAGTTTTTTTTAAAACAGTTGTTGCTATGTCAGTAGTAATACCAAAAAAAAAATTATTTCTCTGTCTTTTTCAAGAAACTTAAAGAGCTGTGCAATAGTGCACATGAAACACACAGTAGAAGCAAGAGAAAGGGTCCAGAAATCCATCTGTCCAAACCCAAGCAAATACAGGGAAAACTTACAAACTCCATTTTATAAGAGAGCAGCCTTGGTCCAGAATTGAACCCAGGACCCCAGCACTGTGAAGCAGCAATGCTAACCACTGCACAACAGTGCTGCCTGGAACTAGAAATGAGAGGAGAACAAGTCCATAAATGTCAACAGTGAAACCAAGAGTAAAAACTGCTTTGCGCATTATGATCTTTAAATGGGAAGACAGGGCTTTAAGCCAGTTTTGAGCACATCGACTGTCACTGAGTTTCGAACGGATTTAGAGCTCCACAGATACTGTCCTGCACTTGAGGGAGTTCTATTGCCCGCTGTGTGAAGTACGGTCTCCAGTAGGGTGAGAAGGCCTGACTATGCTCATCTTAAAGTCCTTTAGATAATCCAGCGTTAGATTGTTCGGTTCTTGATACATGAGCAGGTGAACCCTAAAGTCAGTTCTGCATTTCGCTGGGATGCAATGCAGTTTAAAGAAGATGGGAGTTATGCTGATGCTGGGTACATTTAGTTAGTACAAAAGTTGTAGAATTCTGAATATACTGAAGCCTTAGTTTGGTACTTTAGAAGAGATACAAGATACTTAAAAGATATGGCGTTACAGTAGTCTAATCTTGATTAAATAAAGGAACGGGTACTGTAGGTTTTTCATTATAAATAACTAGAACTAGAATGAGTAGTGGCATTACTCTCTGTTTTCCTCTCTCAGAGGCAGCTGACAGAAAGCTTAGTGTGGAAGAGGAAGAAGCGAAGAGGATTGCGGAGATGGGAAAGCCAGTTCTAGGGGAGCACCACAAGTTAGAGGTCATCATTGAGGAGTCGTACGAGTTCAAGGTGAGCGTTTCTCTGTTTGTCCTGCTGGAAATCTGTCGGTGCAGCATCAGAAACACTGTTCTGCCTTTTGTCTGTTTTGTTTATTGATCAGTTTATCAACTGATCTGCTTGCGGCAATACACGGTTGGCAGAGTGCATGTGCTGTCAATGTCCACGGAGGACCTGAGATCCTGTTTCTTTGTTCAGCCTGAACAGAACCCCTTGCCCTTGGTTTGATGTTTTTCCACAATGTTGACTAGTTAAATCAAAACTTTCAGTGTGCCTTATTCCAGACCACGGAGATTCAGTTCCTTTAACTAGTCTGGGTATGGCATTTCTGCAGTCACCTTGAGTTCTTCTGGGCTCTGTTCTGTGAAATCTGTCCAGGGTGACAATGTGACATTCTGCTGTCAAACTGTTAATTTAAATATTATTTTTTTCCATTGGAAACAGCTGCTCACACTATCATAACAGATTTGGTAGAAAACACAACATCAATAACATTAACCCCTGTCCCCTGATTGGGCAGTGATACACTACTGGATTCAATTAACAGCTTTATTACTTTGTTATGAATATTACTGGATTTAATCAAGAAAAGATTTTATATCAGTAGCAATTAGATAATTAGATAATTTGATTCTCCAAATGCACTTCATCATAATTGTTTACACTTATATAGCGCTTTTCTGGACACTCAAAGCACTTTACAGGTAATGGGGACTCCCCTCCTCCACCACCAATGTGCAGCATCCACCTGGATGATGCAACAGTATCCAAAGTGCACCAGTACACTCACCACACACCTGTTATCAGTGTGGAGGAGAACAGAGTGATGAAGCCAATTCATAGATGGGGATTATTAGGAGGCCATGACTGGTAAAGGCCAATGGGAAATTTGGCCAGGACAATGGGGTAACACCCCTACTTCTTTTGAGAAACACCCTGGGATTTTTAAAGACCACAGAGACTCGGGACTTTGGTTTTACGGCTTATCCAAAGGACGTCCTTTTTTACAGTATAGTGTCTAGATCAGCATACTGGGGCATTAGGACCCACGTAGACTGCAGGGTGAGCACCTAGCAGCAACCTTACTTTTTTCCAGGAGTTCTCACATCCAGGTACTGACCCAGCTCACACCAGCTTAGCTTCAGTGGGCTGTCAGCGGTGGGTTACAGGGTGATATGGCTACTGGCTTACGCTTCTAATGTAAACCTTAGAACTATCTGGGAACTACTATGAATCTACCTAATTATTGGGGGAAAGATTGAAGTTCGTTTTCTTATTGTCAATCTAAATTTAATATTCTATTCCTTTTCAGCCATTTATCATAAAAATGGACAGCTATTGTGAAGCCTAAGGAAAAACAGACAATAACTTCATGACACAGTTTTTATTTTTATTAATATCATAATCTTCAGACAAAAATTAGTTACAAATGCTTGCTAATAGTCGGCTCTAACTCAAATCACTTTAAAAAATGTAATGGTCTGTTTCTTCCCTCTAGTGGTTTCCTTATTAACTGCAGGGCAGATATAGCACTCACTGTGTAGGTTCTTGGATGGTGTGTAGATTATATCACACATAGAATATACCCTGCCTGGAAAAGAATGCACTGATTCTACTTGAAGTGCCTCCCTGTCCCTCTACACTTGCAAGATAAACTTGTTGATTCCATAGTGTCTAGGTCCCAGTGCAAAATTGAAATTGTCTTTTTCTGTCTCTCTTCACAAAACAATTCTGGATTTTGTCTTGAATTTCAGTCAGGGTATTCTTGACATGCCATGTGATAGCTCCTCTGATGATGACCTAAGGTGATGTATTATTGTCTGTTCAGAGCAACATTTACAAGCCGATTGATGATTGCCTATCTAGAGCACAGTAAACAAGCTGATTATTGATTGTTCTATATCTAGAGTATGGTGGACAAGCTAATTGATTATTGTCTATCCAGAGCACTGTAGATAAGCTGATCAGTTGTTGTCTATCCAGAACATAGTGGACAAGTTGATTGATTATTAGGTATGTAGAGTACAGTGGAGAAGCTGATTAATTGTCTTTCGAGAGTGCAGTGGACAAGCTGATCAATTACTGTCTTTCCAGAGCACAGTGGACAAACTGATTAAGAAGACAAATCTGGCACTGGTAGTGGGCACTCACTCCTGGAGGGACCAGTTCATGGAGGCCATCACAGTCAGTGCAGGTATCCTCTCAGCAATGACACCCTGCGTGTTTGATTTAACTGCAGTTTTGGGATCCTTTTCTAGAGAATGTTCCAGACAAGTCTAAAGTATAGTAATATTGTAGATGTGGACCATTGCAAGTGTTGTCAAGAATGGTTCAGAATGTTACATATAGAGGCAATAGTTGTATCAAAGAGGTACACATATGCTCTGAAAACAGTCTGAGCATCTGGTTTTTGTGCTCTGCTAACACAAAATGTCTCTCAAACTTAAATTCAGTGCAAGGCTTTTAGTTCTCATGCTGAAAGCACAGCACAGCAGCACAGCAGTGGAACTGAAAATTTTAAACATCAAATATTTAAATACTTTTTCTTTTCCTGGTTTAAGCTGTTTTCTGGGCATTCTGTTCAATGCACTTATACCAAAATGTTCTTTTTGTTTATAATTTATATTTGCTATAAAAGCATTGCCTGACTTCCAGATGCAAGACATATGCCACTATAACACACTGCAATATACTGTATTTTTGGTCATCTACTGTACTGTATGCCCTTTTAAATGGAGATATGTACCCAAAAATTGTGTAAAACACCAGGGTTTTATCAACTGTGATGAGCAAATGTACAGGCAGAATGTCAGTGGAATTTGTGCTGTGAATTCAGTTTTTAAAAAGGGTAATCTTGTTCTGAGGAGCATATATCCTTTAAATTAATTGTATAAGGGATTTCTGATTCCAGGTTATTCCAAACCCTGCAACAGCCAAAAATACTTTGGGAAAAAGAGCTTCACTGATGTTCCAAACCTTCCCATCTATCTCTCTAATGTGATATTTTACTTAAGAAAACTGGAGTTACCCAACCCAGTCATTCAGCCAGTTGAGTTATCAAATGCTCAAATGCATTTTCACCATTTTCAAACCTTTGCAGAACCCCTTAAAGACAGAGTGACAGACACATGTTAATGTTAAAATATAAAATCAAGTAGTTTATTATATCATTAAAATGTATATGTTCTATCTGACGTATGTATACCACTCTATCTGACATTTGCAATTCTGTTTTTCATTGTCCATTTCAGAAGTCAAAAAGGGCTCATCAGGGCTTCTAAGAAATAGCAGTGTTATAAAAAATACATTTTTAAGATCACAGATCATCTGAAGAATTCTCAACAATTCAAATGATTGAAATACTAAAAACAGTTCCCAAGTAGTCTGGTATTCTTCTTTTCACCAAAGCTTTTATAAAGATCTTAGCAATCCTCATATTGCCTTTAATGAAATGGAAATTATATCTGTCCGTTAGCCTAGCAGCTTTTTCTAAAATAAATACACTAGACAGACTTCATTCCAAGTCAGATCAAATCAAGTGATTGAGATTTCAGCTTTGTTCAGTTCCACTTTCTACAAGCTGATGTGTTTTTCTGATGGCCAGAGCCTTCATAAACCAGAAGGCATAAGTAGAAACTACATGGAAGTGCATTTAAAACTGAGAACAGGAGGCACGTCTTTACTGAAAGGACTTTAAAATCTGGATGAGATCCTTTGATCAAATAGCTACTGACAAACAAGCTAAACGTACCAAATTAATTCCTATTGTTTATAACTGTCCTTAACTTCTTACAGCTACCCTATGAAATGTTACCCTCAGCTATGGAGTTTGGGATTTGCAATTGATGGTGGGCCAAATTCTAGTTTATTCTAGGCTTTGTTGATTTTGATGAAATGAAGTATGATTCTTGATTTATTGTATCTCATTATGCTGTATATTTTCTGGAAGCAGCAACAATCACAGTGCCACAGCAAACCACTCAGCCAGCTGGTTTTTTTTTCCAAACGCACAGAGAGGAAAACACTTCACACAGCCCTCTGAAAGACCAGAGCGTGACACTGAGCCATTTGCAGTTAATGCAGCCGCCATTCTGCTGTGTTTTCAGTACATTCTAAAGGTGTTCTGGCATACAATTAGGAAGCAGCCAAAGGTTTCCATGGCAACACGCTGAAATAGCAGACTCATGGCTGTCTTTGTGTCTCACAATCAGAAAGTCAGAGGGCTACTAGACACAACATGCAACCACTTCATCTTTAGGTAGACATTTTATTTATTGTAATTTTTTTTTAAAAAAAGCTCCCGAGCAGTATTTCACTTGTTTTACTTCTATATGACGGCATTTCACTGTATTTCTTTATTTCATACCAGATTGTATTCCCTTAGATTATTATGTGAGGTAAGAATCCTAAAAATATGAGACTGTTTTTATTGGCCTGTAGTTGAGCAATCCAAGAATACCATTAAGCTGTTTCTTAATAAATCTACCAGACGTGTTCAGCATCATGTCTGTGCAGTTTGTTCCAGATCCCCATGACTGTCTTTGTAAATCTGTGTGGCCCTCCTACATTCTAAATGTACCTAAACTTAGTTTCCACCAAGGTGAGGCAGCCAGCTTTCTGCACAGCTAGTGGTGCCTCTGTCTCCACTGAATCAGCCCCCATCTTCCAAGCTTTTTTGTGATTTTTCAGTGACACTTACATCCCCATGGCAGGTACAGTGGTTCTCCTTGCTGTTTCATATACATACCTCCTAGGTTATGGGTTCTAATACACCCTTAGCACCAGTCTGTGTGGAGATTGCATGTTCTCCTCATGTATTGGCTTTCATGGGGAGTGCCAATTTTGCGTTGCAGAGGGTTGGCTGTCCTGAATCCTTGTGCTCTGAGGCTTATCCATTTCTCCAACACTTAAGAGGGACTTCAACCTGCAGTCACAGGGACACAGCAGGGCTGTATTGAGCAGTATCATGATTCCTATAGAGTTATAGACCTCATGTTTAAAAACTTCCCCGCATGAGCAATGACAAGTGTCACTGGCACCGCACAGTGATTGATGTACAATGCTATATTTCCTGGACCCTTTACTGTACTTCCTAACCTCAGGACAAAGGCTGCTGTGATTAACACGGCTGGAGTGACAAAAGATCAATGCAGTTGAGAGATCATCTGTTATTTTTTTTTCTTTAGGCGATGAGGATGAGGAAGACTCTGGAGAGGAGCGCCTTCCCTCCTGCTTCGACTACGTCATGCACTTCCTGACGGTGTTCTGGAAGGTCCTGTTCGCTTGCGTACCGCCCACCGAGTATTGGAATGGCTGGGCCTGCTTCGTTGTGTCCATCATCATCATCGGGCTGCTGACCGCCGTCATCGGAGACCTGGCCTCGCACTTTGGCTGCACCATTGGGCTCAAGGACTCCGTCACGGCTGTAGTCTTTGTGGCTCTCGGCACGTCTGTTCCCGGTAATTTCCTACTGCTTCACTTTTAACATGCAAGGTTTTTATGATATGTATATATATATAAGTGTCTTCTAAAAAGATAATCCGTGTTGGTGTGCAGCTTCAGGGCTGTTTAATAAAGAGATCTGGACTAACCAAACCCAGACAGCTTCTAGGAGATCAACATCTCAGCACACTGTCTTGCACAAGTCCAGGGCCGCTCATCATATCACAATAGCCACATAGCCACTCATAGCCACTCAGCATGTCACAATTAAGCTCGTGACATGTTGGTGTTCTTTACTGCTGTATGTTTTTCATTCTGTCCAATCTGTTTTTCATTTTTTATACCTCTTTTCAAAGCGGTCACAGAGAGCTTTACAAGTTTTAAAACAGAACAGGGGGTGTCCTCGTACCAGACGCATACAAAGCCGAGCCCTCTGTAAGAACCCCCAAGACAAATCTGATGTGTTTAACCTACCCCGCCCTCGCGTGCCTCTCTCTTGCAGATACCTTCGCCAGCAAGGTGGCCGCCGTGCAGGACACGTACGCCGACGCCTCCATCGGCAACGTGACGGGCAGCAACGCGGTCAACGTGTTCCTGGGCATCGGGCTGGCCTGGTCGGTGGCGGCCATCTACTGGTACACGCAGGGGAAGGAGTTTGAGGTGCAGGCGGGCTCCCTGGCCTTCTCCGTCACGCTCTTCACCATCTTCGCCTTCCTGTGCATCACCGTGCTGCTGTACCGCCGCAGGCCACACATAGGGGGCGAGCTGGGGGGGCCACGCAACCACAGACTGGCCACCTCCGGATTCTTTGTCAGCCTCTGGCTCCTGTACATCCTCTTCTCGGGGCTGGAGGCCTACTGTCATATACAGGGCTTTTAAAAGAAGGGCAGCTTTTCGGGAGGAGGCGAGGGAGAGGGGGCGCTAGACCTCTCTTCAGCCCCCCTCACTTGGACACCCTGAATTCTAGCACAGCCCGCTCTTTGAAAGCACGGTGAGATACGTAGCAGATCGCAGGTCGTCACCATCCAGAGGGGATCAGAGAAGAATATAAGGCGTCCCCACTCCATCCCTGGAGTTTGGAGGGATGGGGGAGGGGAAGGGGGGAGACCACTTGCATAACAGTAGTAGTTGTAAGTCAAAGAAAGGAAATGGTAAAAATAAATAAATCAATTTAAAAAAAAAACGGGTTTCAGGTGAAGAATAAAGTCCTAACACAGGCGTCTGTGAAACCAGAAGTCTATTTTTCTTCAACAGCTGACAAGAGGTGTTTTTTCTAATGAAGTATTTTAAAAAAAAGACAAAAAAAAATACAAAAAAAATAGATGAAAAACAACTATTTTCTGAGCTGCAAGCGAGTATAAGGTTAAGAAAAGTAATTCAGGAATAACAAAAAAACGTGGAGCTAATCGGGTGTTGGACAGATGACGGATGAACGGATTTGGTTCATTGTCTCTCTTTTTCATTTAAAAGATGGTCTTGGGATTCTCGAATTCAGAAAGCAGAAGAGATCTGGGGCATGATGCCACTCGTCAGTAAAACAACCGGGAAAAAATAAACTGCCTAGGATAAGACTTCCTATATATATATTTCCATACTTTCTGTATATTTTGAATATTTGTTTCAATGTGTTTACATACAACTCAGAAGGTGGAGGATCGCTATGGGTTTGAGATTTTATCACTGAGTTCCTTGCATGGCTTATTGCTGTGACCAGTAGAGACTGGCTGTAGGGGTACAAACTGCAGTTCAAGGTTACAAGCATCTTGCTCCAGATATCATGAGCTTTTAAGCCAAGTGTGGAACAGCATCTGCTTTTTGTTTTTTTTTTCCCCCTCTTGTGATATCTGGGATTTATCATAAGCTCACTTACAGCAGTTTAGTACAGAAACAAAAGAGATTGCCTGTCTGATGTTTTGATTCCGGTGCTCAGAAAATTCAGAGTGTTTTAATATGTAATTTCTGTGATTCAGAATGGACTACTGTTCTTAACCTCAGCACAGGGACTTGATTCAGGTTGGCTGTAAGTGATAGGTAGTCCAAAGAAGTTTATTTTATTGAGGTGAATGAATCTTGAAGTACCATGTGAAATATGTAAAAAGACCCAGACTTTTGCATTAGCTGCTGGTTTTAAATGATTTATTCGTTTAATTCTTCCCCAACCTATGTTTGTTAGAAAATCAAAAATAATGAAACTGTACAAGTATCTTTTCCTGGCTCCCTTATGCTAGCTTGTCTTCTCTTCTGTGGTTTGTAAACTGCAAAGTTATTATAGATGGGGGGAGTTTGATGGTATATTTTTCTGTGAACTTTATCTGAGAAAAAAAAGACAGAGCCCAGTTCCTACATTTTCAGATTAATGGGAGAACTTGATTTGATTTCATTTCAGTGCATTCAACACTTGGAGAAGGGACTACATTTTCAAAGAGAAAAATTGCCAGGATAAGAGGAAACATGCTTTAAAATGCCTGCTCTTTCCTTCTGGGACTAAAGCAGTTACACAACACACAAGTTCGAGGTTAACTGTTTAGGTTATGTCAAGTTCTGTGTTGAAAAGTTATATTTTCAAACTAGGCAAATGGGCCTCATTTCAAAAGTAGTGTTACCACCTTTTTGGCAGCACTGTTATCTTCTTCTAGACTGATCACATAAGAAGCTACTGTAAGCAAGACTGAGAGACTTCAAACACACTGGTTCTCACTGCTGGTCTTCGGGAATCCCTGTGCCTTCTGTAGGTTTTTTCTCCGGCCACATTCTTAATTGAAAACAAACTAATTTCAGTGTATTATTGAAAACAATCTAATTTCAGTGTATTATTTTAGCTGTATTTTTAATTTTTCTTTGAAACTCTGAACATACTATATGCACTTTGTGCTTGGTACCTCCCTTTCCAAGTTTTAGGACTGCCCTTATTCAAAGTGTGTCGTCTGAACATCTCACCTATTGGACCAAAACAAAAGGTAAAAACAAACACTCATTGTGTGAGTGTCAGATACAGTTTCATTCCAACCTGTATTTATTGTATTTTCCCAAATTGCTCACCTTTTAAGAAATTGTTCATCAGAATTAAAGAAGCAAATAGCCCACTACCGTAGATTGACGTTCTGTCCAGGGTGAATTCCACCTTGCACCCAGTGCTCATTGGGATAGGCTCTAGGCCACTGTGATCCTGATTTGTTATGGAAAGCAATGATGGAGATGATAATTATCAATTTGACATTAGACTTGTTGTTGGAAATACTAATATATTATCTATGAAATACACATATACTATATACTGTATTACACATTACAGTAATATACTATACTGTATAATCCATGCATTAACTGTCATTCCATCCAGGATAGGAGTATTGTGCTCTCTGACCTTCTCAGCGCTATAGAAACCTGGATGTAATCTGACCCAATAACCTGCTATAGCTCTGGTGTGGACTCTACCCTTGCCTTACTGTACTCTGTACTAGTGAAACTAAGTTCTGGTTCTGGGTAGCCGGCCTGTGTGCTGTTGTTCACACAGCTGACTTCTTAATCACTGGCTAATTTACTACCGTTTTCTATCTGAGGCCATTTTTAAATTGTGCTTTCAGCTCTTTGATTGATTGCGATTTGTAATTGGAATGAACCCTGCTTTATGTTGATTATTGAGTTAATGACTGCCATCATCCAGGTGTGCTACAGTAACTGAAAACAATGCAATAACCATAAACAAATGGACATACAGTTCGAAGAAGAAAAAACAATATGTGTGATACAGTGTCATTCCTGCCTGTGTCTATTCATTATGTATTGATTGCCTGTTTATTTAGAAACAAGGGAGTAATTTCTGAATTAGAAAGTTAGGGAGAGTCTACATCAAGTTCTGTGTACTGATGTTGTTGGGAATAATGCACTCTTACTATGATATTTTTTAAACCAAAGACTGAGTGCAGAAAAAGTCATTACCAGCAAATAGATCAGTTCCAATCACCAATTAGCACTGGTGCCCATTGAGAATAAAGCCCTACAGATTCAGGGGCTCTTCAGGACCAGGACTGAGAACCACTGCTCTCTACTAAAGGCTATTTTTGCTAACAAGGATTATAATGTAGAAAAAAGTGCCAGTGTTCTGGTCCAGAATTGCCAAACCAATGTCTCAGTATGGTGACAGGGGACACTGTGCTCTTTTATACTTAAATCTCATGGCACAGTTCATAAATGTACAGTAGGGGTGTTAACTCCAATGTACTGCCTGAATTCCATTTTGGGCTTGCACCATCCTTAATTTCCCCTTTAATTTCATTCTTAAAGCAATTTCTTACTTTTCTATCTGATCTGTGTATTGGGGCTGAATGGCTGCCACACATCACCCAGTTGGGTGCTGCATTTTAGTATTGGATATAGTTGATTGCTTTCTATATTCAAAGCACTTTATAATCCTTTTAGAATGAAAAGTGCTACAGTATATACAGTGCTTAATTGTCATGAAAGGCCATCATTTTTTCCATGTGTATGTAGGTGTCTGTTTATTATGGCATATTCCTGACTTGATCATGTCTTCAGATTTCATTCTTCAAAAAATCTATTTGTGTTTCATGAACAATTGCTTGCAGCCTGTGAGCATGTCCCTAAGACAGTGAATAATTCCACCATGCCAAAAGACCAGGTCTTTTGCCAAGGGGGGGTGATTCCTGTTCATTCATTAAAAACCAAAACTTTTACTAAAGTGAAAATCACCAACAGACTATTATAGAGCATGTTATGATGAAGATGAGCGATGGCTTCAAAATCATCAATTCTTGCTGCATTACCAGATGCACTTCTATGAGGCCATTGGAATGTGACACATTTGTATAGCTGTAATAATATAAAATATCACATCTCATTAACTGAGAATTACAAGAAAGATCTTGATAACTCAAATTACAGAATGGCACACCAAGTCATAATGTCCGCCTATCTGATTAAAACAAGTTATTTTGTGTCTAAGATGAGCAAGGGAAAAAATGATGAAGACTACAATATGTTTTCACTCAGTAAATAAGAACATCATTACTTAAGATTGGTTGCAAATGATAGAAGGCCCTTCAGTCCATCTAACCTGCTTCTTAGTTAGTAGCTAACTGATCTAATGTTCTCCTTCAGCTGTTACAAATTAGTTTCACAAAGATGGGTGGGTAGCTTGTTACATAATCCCACAACCCTTTAGGTAAAGAAGTGTGTCTTGTACTTGGTTTTAAATGCACTTCAGCTAGTACCCTGTACAGTAGGTCTTAGGTGATGTTCACTTCACAGATGAGCGTTCAGAAGAGAGCCTGTGGATTGCTGTGTGATGTATAGAGTCATCAGTGCATGGACTGGAAATAAGGCTCAGTCACCTTGGATGCAGGGTGTGTGGTGGGAAACCCCCTGAGAGCTTTCAAGGGGAGAAGCCACAGTCACTCTCACTGGAAAATCTGAGGACCCATAGTGATTCTCTACCAGAAAGCCAGCTTCTGTGTTCCTCCTTGTCCTTCTGTTCTGTCCCTGGTCCCCCAATCTTGTTCTTTTTCTTTTTCTTCTCCTTATAAGTGGTTCTGTAAATACGTTTCCGGCCAATGCTGAAATGAGTCACTTTGTGGAAGGGAAGGGCATGGGGGTGTGGCTTTCATTTGTGTTTGTGGCGGGAGGTGGGGCCTCAATGTTTTTCTCTTAACAAGCTTTGAAATGGTCTTAAACTGCCATTAATGGACAAATGGGGCTAGGGAATGATAAAGGGGCTCCTTAAAGAAGACATTTATACATTGTCCATCTTTATTATATACTGCTGTCTCTGTAACACCACTTTTACATATCACCAAGATTACTTCAGCAAATTTCTGTGTACAGTTGGTTCTCTTTGTACTGCTTTCTTTAAAACACCACTTCTGGTTATGAGCAGCATTACTGACTGTCCCAGACTTGGTGGTTTGCAGAGGTAGGACACAGTGAAATTCTGTTCTGTGGCCTTTGACTAGACATGCTTTGAGGGATTGTCACATGTCAGTCCCTGAACCTTTGCTAAAACTGACAGTTGTCACTGAATGGAAGCAACACCAACTTAACAATGATAAGCTGATTTCTAGGGGAGATTCTGCGTCTGCTTTTGCTTCAATCTGTGTGATGTTTTCAGTACTGCTGCAGGGCCTGGTAAATTTTCACGTTTTTATTAATTTAGATGCTGATTTCCTATGTTGCTGTACCAATTTATATGCACTAATATTGTGAGAACTGCACGTATTTATTTATATAACAGTGCAATGGAGGCATAAAGCCAACAGGTGGATGTAATTATGAATAGACACCCAATTATAAGG